GAGGATTAAATAGTGGTAGTTGTCGTAACCCGAATTTGACATCCCATTTTTCCTTTTTGCATAAGCATTGATGGCATATGCATTAGCAATTTTTCTCGGTGGGTTAATCGATTAACAGCTGTAATTTTGCAGATTTTCAATAGTTTTTCAACACCCCATCAGCTCTCTCCTCATTCTTTTGGTTTATTTGGTTCTAGTATCATGTGAAATATTCTAGACACTTCAAGAATCCACTTGCATTTTCTACAATACATCCTAATCAAGACCACCATGCACCTTTATTTTCAAGCATATGAACCATTGGATTTTGGACTTGCATTGTGATGCTCCCAGTGAGTTAACAAATAACTAATCATGTCAACCTCTGACTCAGTGAGTTAGATGTAACTAACTCTAAAGTTAGCTCTAAAACAAACTCCAAGCCTAGCCTACTCCAAAGCTAGCTTCTATTTAAGCAAACATTCACATTTTCACTTGGAGGCTTAATCATTCTCAACCATTTTTCACTCTTCACTCTCAATTCTCTCTCACTTTCACTCTTCTCTCTTAATTTTCTGCAATTCATCTTCACCTTCTTCACCAAACCACACACAAAAGCTTAATTTCCACCATTATAGTGTAACAATCTTCACATTGAAATTGTTATTCTTTTGAGCTAAACCTTCACTTCACTACATTTTTAGTTGAATTTATGGATTTACAGTAGCTTCTACTTCAATTCAAGTAATCATCTCAAGCTTTTTGGTGCAAATTCATATCCAGAGCATTTATCACGTTTTTATCGGTTTCATTATGATTTGATCTCAAGCTTGAAATTCTCTAGTTTTCTTTGCTTATTCTCACTATATTTCACTTACAACAATAACCAAGGTGTTGTACTCCAAGATTTGACCAACCATTTTCTTGTACTTGACTTATGTTTCATTTCATTTAAGCATTTGCATTTGCATAACATTGTTCTTAACAGGGGATCAGGAGTCTTGTTGTGCCATTTAAGAGGAGAGTCTACTTGGTTTCAAGCTCAAGCAAGGGCATTTGTCCAAGCCATTAGGGTTTCATCATCATAGAGGAATATCAAAGCTCTTTGAGAGGAGAGATTTGTGCATAGATGTGGCCTCCTATCTTGAGGATCATCAGAAGGTCACAGGGGTTCATAAGGTTTTATTCTTGGATAAAAAATGGTTTAAAAGCTCATTGAGTACCTTAGGGGTCATTATGGAGCTTGAGTAGTCATTCAATTCATCTGCAAAGGGCATAAACAAAGGATAGGGAACTAGGGTTTCATTTGGTCAACCCAAAGTCAATTGTGGACTTGAGAAGGTTCACAACTTGGTTCTAAGTCATTGAGGCCATGGGAAGTCATCTTAAAGCATCTAGGATGTCATGATAAGATCAAATCAAGAGGATTCAAGAGTTCAAAGAGTTACTAAATTAGGGTTTCAGATGATTTCAATGTAAAGTCCCCTTCTTTAGTGCCTAACTTCAAGGACACGTTTCCCTATGATGCAAGCTCAATCTTATTCTCATGAAAACATGAGACTTGTATAGAATCCGTCAAGATTTATTTTGAGTACAAGAACTCATCCATTGAGTTTGTACATATCAAGTTATGATGTCAACAAGTTGGGGTCCTCAGATGAAGAGAATTTTGGTCAACTAAAAGTCAACTCACTTCCAAGACATTTTTGACCTAGAATCAAGTTTTTCCTCAACTTCAAGTGAACATGAGAGTTGTTACTTATGATCTTAGATTTCCAAAAAGTCCTAGAAGTCCTTTTTATCATTTGTACATCTCAAGTTAGGGGTCTCACAAGGCAAGGGTACCTTTGGAAAAGTTCATTATATGTCATCTTTTTCAAAGACCATTTTCATGAATTTATGGACATCAAATGTAATTCCAACCAACATGAAACTTGTGCCTAAGGGTCTTAACTCCACATTGAACTTAAAACTCATGAGGATTATTGGACTATATGGTCATGTGGACCATTTTAAGGTGGAAAATTAGGGTTTTTGGCCATGACTTGATTTTCTTCTTTTGCAAGGTACTAATTGATTTGGTTTTGAACTTTTTACACCATCATGTTATTAAACATTGGTAATGCTACTTCTTTACCTCATTTGGACAAACAATAGTACATTTTTATGAGCCATTTTTCAATGTTGTACACTTTTAAAAGTCATGATACAAACTTGGCACAAAGGTATTGACAATGATTCAAATTAATCCATTTCTTTCCAAATCATGTGCATTTCATTATGCTGACCCACTGAGGGGTGTTTGATGCCTAAAACCGTGTGTGTTCATAAGTGGATTGTTCTTGGCAAAACTTGAAACCAACTCATCCAGCCAACATGGGCCTGCATGGTCTTGTAAATCCACCACATAAAAGCTAAAAAGTTTCCCTAAAGCACCAGGATGAGCTACTCGCGTAAGGGAAGAGAGATTGGCTCAAGAATTCATCACTTTCTTCTCACTTTCGAATCATACTTTTCACTGCAAATCAACTCCAATTGCTGCTTGATTCTTCTTCATAAAGGTCTAAGGAACAATTTGGAAGCCATAAACCAAAGCTTGCAAGCTTTAGAAGAGCCAACAGAGCTACTCTGTTCAGTAAGTTTCCTCAACTGATTTCTCTCATTCTAGGCATGAAGTAGGTTCATTCCGGGCTGCATCTGAAGCCCTACGTATGGCAGGCAATGTTTGAACCATTGATTGACTTGTATGTTGAAGTTTCAGCATATGCATCCAAACTTTCGTGCCCTGATTTCTACTTGTCCAGGAGGCTTTTTAAAATATGCTTGGTAGATTTGAGATCCTTGTGAGTAGAGATTTCTATTAGTATAAGTTTTGTTCATTTTTATTAGGGTTTGGTGACTGGTCTCCAGCGAGCTGGCCGGAGAAGACGATCAGAGCCTTAGCTCCGGCGTCCAGTCACCAGTCTGATCTTTGCTGATTTGTCATGTGTGGACTTTTTGACTTGATTGCTTGGCACCATCCCATTTGTTTGACCAAGCCACGCGTGAGGTTTGAACATGACTGGACTTAATGAAATAATGTGTTTCATTAAGTCTGAAGGCTGGTTTAGATTGGGCTTAAAGTGCTAATCACGCCCCCTCTTTGTGAGCCCGGTTGCACTTTACACATAATTCAGTTCATGTTGGTTTTTACTCTTGCACCTCCCTTTGTTGTTTCATTTATTTTATTTTATTTTCTTATCTGTTTTCATTTTACATTTTTAAAAATACTCCCAACTATCAAAAAATTCCACCAAAAATATTTTCTTGCATTTCAAAGTGTTATTTAATTTTCTATAATTTTTGTTTTTGATTTTATTTTGTTTGCTATTTTATTTTAATTTTGCAATTGGATCACTTGTATGGTGTTTACTTTGTGTAGTCTTGATCTTTTGGACTTCAAATCCTTATTCCCTATGATCATGGCTTCTCCCTCACTTAAAATACAATAAACAACAACAAAGCACTATCAATGATACATAAATTCGAAGAAGAACCTAAAATACCCAAGAAAACAATGGAAACACAAAAACATTAAAACATAAACAACAACAACAAAACACCATTAATCAAAACAAATAAAAAATAATCAATGATAAAGGTCTAAATCAGACCATAAGCTGAGGTAAAATAAAAATGTCCAATAAAATGAACAATAAGGAACAATCCATGATAAAACCGTAAACAAAAAATGATCGGAATCATCAATCGAAACCCATCAAATTTAGGAGATGTGAGATAGCTGAGGAAAAAAGTATATAAATAAAATGAAGCACCATCACAGTCGAACCACCAAATATTTTGATCAAGGTGTATGAAGAGGAAAACATGTAGCTGGTGAAGGAAGGAAGATGTGGATGAAAGTGTGAAGGAATAATCGAAATCAGTATCATAAGAAAACACCATCAATTGAAACAAAAAAAATGTGGAAGTACTCAGAGAAATGAGGAAAAAGGTTGTAATATAAACATTGCAATGAATTATACTTTTTTTGTTGTAATGAATGAATGAGAATTAGAAATGATGTAGCTGAGGAAGGAAGGAAAATGGGAATGAAGTGTTAGAAATAGTGAAAAGCGGTTAAAGAGAGTGTTTAAAGTGGAGAAGTTTTGAAATTGGATAAATTTAAAATGAAAAATTTGACAAGATTGAATTGTGAAAATTATATCCATTTGTCAAATACTCATATATCTTTTTATTAATGTAAAATATTGGAAAAGGTGATGAGACATTATACAAATTGGTGTCATGTTATAATAACATTTATATATTTGATAAAATCAAGTAATACATCTTATCTATTTATAGGTGACAAACAGGATTATCCGTCCCGTTTAAGGTTGCCCCATAAATACCTGCAAAAAAAAATGGAGCAAAGCATGACGAGCATTGTGTAGGGTGCAAGTTTAAAATCTTGACCCTTCTACAAATAAGAGAGGGTGGATCCGCGGACATTACACATTTTTAATTTAAAAATTGTAAAAATTTATGTTAATATCTATGCCCGCAAAAATCTTTAGAAAAACAGAACAAAACAAAACAGACATATTAAAATGTGCGAAATTAAAATCTTAATCCATTTAAAAAAATGAAAACAAAACAATCAAAACTCCTTGTATATAAGTCTAAATATAACAAAATAAAATATGTTATATAGGATCCCTTCAATTAATAATAATTAAATTAATTAATTATATGATAAAATTAATAAAAAAAAACAATCGGAAACTAATTAACCACCTAGAAACATATTAAAAAATCTGGCATATTTAATGAATTAAAGAACTTATAAAAATAATATAAAAGACACACGTGGATTTTTTTCTTTTATTTCTTTCTTTTTCGTTTCTAATCAACGGTAACACGAAATTCAAATTTGAAGAATTCCACCGCTCACACTTTCTCTCTCGCTTCCATCTTCCACAGACACTTACATTACAACGATCTTTCACCTTCTTAAATTCTCTAATCTTTCTCTCTTCATGGATCCTATGGAACTCACTGATCTTCGGAACAAGCCACAAACTCTAATTTCAGAACATCACGATTCAATAATGGAAGATGTTGGTGATTCTTTGTTGGATTCCATGCTCTGCGATGCCAGTTCCAAACTCATTGCATCTGGGTTTACCAGATCTGAAAACGAAGGTTCGTGAGTTTATGGTTTTTAAACTTCTATTGAGTTCGAAAGTTGTTCTATGTACTCTCTCTACTTAGGATTGAATTATTAGGTAAGTTAGGGTTAATTGTGGTTTTAGAATTCTGGTATATTTTTGGTAAATTGTTAATTCGACTAGTTTGTAAATGAAATTCTAACCTATGTACACCGGAATGTTCCCAGAATTATGACATGCTTTAGATTTTATGTAACACCGACCCCTCGGGAAAAAAAGTTGTGTTCGGTGTCTGAAACCGGCAATGACACTTGTGTTTACCAAATGATTACCGGTATCGATGTCTAAGTGTCGGTGTTGTATTTCCGGTGTCCGTGCTTCATAGCTTAGATTGATACTTCCACATTAATTTGTTGAATTAAGTGTTTATTTCTAAGATATATCTTTCCAAGCAGATGAGTGTGTTATGTTTGTAAATGCGGGAGGGGATGCTTTAACTGAAGCGGCTGATGGAGTTAAGTTTCTGGGTGATATCTTTTTTGATGGTGGGAATGTTTTCCGCACCAACGAGCAAATAGTGGAAGGTGGAGATTACCCGTCTATATATCAGTCAGCTCGGGTGGGAAGTTTTTGTTATAGAATTGAGAACCTTCCTCCTGGACACTATCTTGTTGACCTTCATTTTGTTGAAATCATTAATGTAAATGGGCCAAAAGGAATGAGGGTGTTCAATGTTTACATTCAAGAGGAAAAGGCAAGCTCATTTCACTCAAACTATTTTTTTTTGAAGTTTTTATGTTTGAGAAACTTTTTAAAGTAATAGCTTGAATCCTTTTTTATTGAATTAATATGGCAGGTTCTATCCGAATTGGATATATATGCAGTTGTTGGAGTCAACAAGCCACTGCAATTGATAGATTCTAGGGCCACTGTGAAGGATGATGGGGTAATTCTCATAAGATTTGAAAGTTTAAATGGAAGCCCAGTTGTTAGTGGGATTTGCATTAGGAGAGCGTCAGGTACTTTTTTTTGTTTGTTTATATTGCTTGATTAAGTTTTCCAATGGCATTGATGTTACTCAGCAATTTGTTCTCTTCAACATTTTGTTATACAGTTCCACCAGTGACAAGTGATTTCATTCAATGTAACTACTGTGATGCGCAGATTGAAATCTCTTCATCTCAGGTTAGAGGTGAAAACTAGTTGATATGCGGCTGTTTGAAGTGTGAAGTATCATAGGCTGATAACATTTTGTTTTTCCTGCCTTTAATTGGAATGTTTCAGATGAAAGTACTGCAGACAAAATCTACAGCAAGGTATGAGAATAAGATAAAGGAGCTCACGATGCAGTGTGAGCTCAAAGCAAAGGAATGTTATGAGGCATGGACGTCATTAACTGAAACAAGTAGGAAAGTGGAAGAAGTCCAGACAGAGCTTGACCAAGTGACATTTATGTCACTCACTACTGGTATGTTTTGCAGGGTCTTCCATCGGAAAAAGTATGAAAATCAGTCTTTTGTAAAACTTTCTCAGCTTGGTTAATGAGATTTTCTGTCATTTATATGTACGAACTTAGAGATATGATTATTTCATTTTCTATGCATAGCTTGTGGCTGTAATAAATTACTACAGTTAGACGTGCATGTATATTAATGACATCACACATTCTAACCTTTTCAAACTTCAAATATTAATTTTATTGTCAATTTATTTGTCAGAACAAACTGTGGAGAAACAAACTGAGAATCTGAGGAATATTTCTATCAGATATGAACTTGATAAGAAGAAATGGGCAGAAGCAGTTACCAGTTTAGATGAAAAAATAAAGGTAAATGACATAGGTTGATGTTTAAAGTTACTTTCATTTTTTTATAATTCTCAGGAAGACATTAAGAATATCGACACTAAATTTGTTTTGCAGTTGATGAAGAGTGATCAGGCTCAGCTTTCCCTTGAAGCACATGATTGTGTCGATTCAATCCCTGAATTAAATAAGATGGTTTTTGCAGTTCAAGAATTGGGTATGTTTCAGTTATAGTATTTGATCTCCATTTTTCTTAGTTAAGAATGAAAAGTTGTATTTAATTGAGTTTTGAAAGAGTATGAATCGTTATAGGGTATACAAATTATTTTCTGCAGTTAAGCAGTGTGAAGATCTCAAATTGAAGTATTACGAAGAGATGACAAAGAGAAAGAAGCTATTCAACGAAGTTCAAGAGGCTAAAGGTATGTTATCATGTTATTCTACATAGTTCAGTTAGACTTTTGTTTCTATTTGAAAAGAATTATTACAAATGAAATACATTAAATTCTTATGTGCTTCTGTTATGAATATATAGGGAACATTAGGGTTTTCTGCCGTTGTCGACCATTGAATAAGGTTGAAATGTCTGCTGGATGTACAACAGTTGTGGATTTTGATGCAGCAAAGGATGGATGCCTTGGAATTTTGACAACTGGCAGCTCCGCCAAAAAAACATTCAGATTTGACAGGGTTTATACACCAAAAGCTGATCAAGGTAAGCGCAAAGTGTAATACAAGAAATGCATTTGTTTGACCCATCATTAATCATTGTTGTAATAATTAGTTCACAATTTATATCATTATTAATTACACAATTGGAAGTTTTCTAAAAGACAATGTTTGCTTTGTTTAACAGTTGATGTTTTTGCTGATGCATCATCGATGGTAATCTCTGTGCTGGATGGCTACAATGTTTGCATCTTTGCTTATGGACAAACAGGAACAGGAAAAACATTTACTATGGAAGGAATAGAGGAGAATCGAGGAGTCAATTACAGAACTTTGGAACATTTGTTTAGAGTTTGTAAGGAAAGGAGTGAAACATTTTCCTATGACATAGCCGTTAGTGTGCTAGAGGTTTATAATGAACAAATCAGAGACCTATTGGCTACTGGACCAGCATCAAAAAGGTATTCCTTGTTGAGTCTGTCATTGATATTCTATTTATGAGATAGTTTAGTATAGTAAAGCTTTGTCAAGCATGCTAGAATGTGCAACAGTACTAGTCTAAGTAGGAAACTCCAGTTAGCTGAAACGTATTCTGTTGAAATTGTTATCAGATTGGAGATAAAACAAAGTGCTGAAGGATATCATCATGTCCCTGGTGTTGTAGAAGCCAAGGTTGACAACATATGTGATGTGTGGAACGTACTGCAGACTGGGAGTAATGCTAGAGCAGTTGGAAGTAATAATGTTAATGAGCACAGTAGTCGATCTCATTGGTACCAAGCTTGCGCACTTTTTTCCTATTTCTTTCCAATTTCTTACCTTTTACTTCTACATCAATGTCAGCTTTTCTATTTCTATACTTACCAATAATCACTTGTTTCTTATTCAGCATGCTATGTATAATGGTTAAGGCTAAAAATTTGATGAATGGTGAGTGTACCAAGAGCAAGCTTTGGCTTGTGGATTTGGCAGGTAGTGAGAGACTTGCAAAGACTGATGTGCAAGGGGAGCGACTTAAGGAAGCACAGAATATTAATCGATCTCTTTCTGCTCTTGGAGATGTGATATCCTCTTTAGCTGCAAAAAGTAGTCACATTCCGTATAGGTATACCCGCCATTCTCTTGACTGTTACACATTTTGTTGATACATAAATGTATATTTCAATGATGTTATTTTCTTTTGGATATTTCAGGAACTCTAAATTGACGCATTTACTTCAAGATTCACTAGGTTTGTCTAGCTATTTCATGTTTTTGTTTGTTGTTCATTTTTGAGAAGTTAGATCTGGTTTCTGTAGTTATATTGGTAAAATACTAGACTCACTAGATTTGTCTAGCTATTTCATTTTTTTGTTTGTTGTTCATTTTTGAGAAGTTAGATCTGGTTCCTGTGGGTATATTGGTAAAATATGTTGCATATTTTTTGGTATCATTTTCCAGGAGGCGACTCAAAAACTTTGATGTTTGTACAAATAAGTCCATCAGATCAGGACGTAGGTGAGACTCTGAGCTCACTTAATTTTGCAACTAGAGTGAGGGGTGTTGAGTTAGGCCCTGTTAAGAAGCAAATTGACACCAGTGAACTTCAAAAGACAAAAGCACTGGTAGGCTGGTTATCCTTACTGGAAGATATTAAATATATTTCACCATGCTTTTTATTAACAAATTATATATTTTTTTCCTTTTACAATGGCATAGCTTGACAAAGCACGAAGTGAGTGCAGAAGTAAAGATGAATCTATGAAGAAACTAGAAGAGAGTTTGCAAACCATTGAAAGTAAGGCCAAAGGAAAGGATAGTATCCACAGAAGTCTACAAGAAAAAATTAAAGAACTTGAAGGCCAGATTGAGCTAAAAACATCTATGCAAAACCAATCAGAGAAACAAATTTCTCAGTTATGTGAAAAGTTGAAGGGAAAAGAAGAAACCTGCTGTACACTCCAACATAAGGTTGCTTTCTATTCAAGATTGTCATTTGGCATGTGGCTCATCTATTCATTTTTCAGTAATATTGGTCTTATAGTTATGAACTTAGATTTTCATATAAGTTTTATAGGTTCTTTGCTTGGTTCATTCGAAATTATGTCTAACGAAACCCTTGCTTCTTCTGAAGGTCAAAGAGCTAGAGAAAAAAATAAAAGAACAACTGCAGACGGAGACAGCCAATTTCCAACAGAAGGTTTGTAACACATTTTATGACGGCTTACTCCACACTTCTCTAATTCTATATACTTCCCTAAACCTTAGCATAAAGGACACACATCATCAAAAGATGAACATATTGGAGAAAAGTTCATCCTTCTCTGTTTGACTGGACAATTAGTTTAGCTCAAGGAAGATCTATGTTCTTGTACATTATGCAGGTTTGGGATCTAGAAAAGAAGCTGAAAGATCAGTTTCAAGGGTCTGAGTCTGAATCTTCCTTTCTAAAAGATAAGGTTGTTGTCACTAGAGCTGCTCCCTTACTACGATATTCTGGTTCTATGTTGATTAGATATTTTCAGTGACCTCTTTTTATTTTCAATGCTTCATATTCTTCAGATCATGGAGCTTGAGAGAAAACTGAAAGAGGAGCAGAACTCAGCGTCCATGCTTAAACAACAGGTTATAATTTGTTTCTGTTGAACACCACATTTTAAATGTTGTTTTATAACAGTCACATTTGCAACCTTACCCTGAATGAAGGAAAGTAATAGTAATAATAGCCTAATTTGTCCAACTCCCTTCCCTCCTTACATTGAAAGAGGAGCACTATGTTTTAATTTTTACCATTTTCTGTCTCTGGCATCTGTTGAGTGAGTTGTTTCATTTATATTAATTAATAATTCATGTGGCAATATGTCATGCAGATGAAGGAACTAGAGGAGAAATACAAAGAGCGAGAGCAACAGTGGCAGCAAACTCACCAAGTTGAAGCAGTAAAAGTGGTGGCCACACCTGAGATAGTTAGAAGCCACGCAAATGACGAATGCCCAAATGAGTTCGAGGCTCGCATTTTATGTAGTTCAAACTCGGTAAACCGGCCGACAAATCAGAGTTCTGCTTTGTTAAAAGGGAATGATTCTACACACCCTATGAGAAACAAAAGGCAGTTCAGAAGCAACGAAGTTGAGAACCATTATGCCATGCCACGGACCTCTTTACACGATAGAAAAATCACAAGGAAATCTGATCCACCTAAAATTGTAAGGACTGGTAGGCTAGCAACTAAACCGCCAGTTATTACCAATCAAGCTCCTGTGTCTCATAAGAGAGCTAGCACAAGCAGAGATCAGGCTCAAGGAGTTAAAGAGAGGGATAGCAAGAAAAAAATATGGTCATGATAGGAGAAGCATATTTCATGCAACAACAACAACTGATAATTAGATATTATTTGTATGTAATTTTCACGCAGAAATTGGTTGATTGTGTGTTTAGAATATGCAGTTATAATTAATTGGATATTATTATGTTAAGGCTCGACCTGACAGTTTGAGCCTGCTGGCTTCGATTGCAAAGATGCACAAGAATTTTAGTTGTATTCTCTCACATTTATGTGTTTAGTTGCTTTCATAAGCTCCAATTTGAGTTGCACTGCTAGTAAGTAGCGTGGGCATTACATTGGTGTAAAATTTGTAAAATGAACGCAGCAACTGTGTTACATTTCTACAGAGCTAACTAGACTGCAAATCACAGGCAGAGTTGTTGCCAGCATTGAATGTTGTTATTGCAGTGAACAAAACGAGTGCAAACAAACAATCTTCTTTACCATCCTCACAAAGTGCACAATTTGAAGGGCACTGTACTCCACGGTCTCAGCCTGATTCAGGTTGGCAAACACTTTCTACCAATACTTAAAAGAATCTTCTTGACCTTCGGGCAATGTTTCTTCGATATGCCGATTAAGATTCCACTTTCCTAACACCCGAAGTGTCAACAAATTCATCCATTCAAAGATGATAAACACTTTCTCCCCCTTCCAAATTCTCTCATCTTCCGTAACTAAGAATTTTAGTAACCTCATCTTGATCAAATAAATTATTCACCAAATGATCATTCAAATTTTTGTTAGGAAGCAACAACTAATCAATTTTCAAGTGTGTCAGATGAGGTCCAATGGGATTTAGCTTTGTAAAGTGTCCTCAATCATATTTTTAACAGCCTGCAAAACATTCATGCTACTTATCTATATTTTCGCAAATTTATGCAACTTCATCACCATAGCCTTAGTAGCTGCTGCTACTTATCTATATTTTCGCAAATTTATGCAACTTCATCACCATAGCCTTAGTAGCTGCTGCATGAAAAATATAAGTAATGTTTAAGTCTCCATTTCTCATCCAAAAAGTCTTCGCATGCTGTATCCTAAACATATAATCTTTCATTAGAAGAGAAGTCATCTTCTTCCTCAATTCATCAAAGGGATGTGAATTTGAATCATGAAGCTGGGCTATTTCTTTCTCAAGAAGTTTTATGTATGAATGGGAGACAGATATGTACCATGTATTTACTCAAACCAACATTTTAAAGCTTTTTTTTTTCAACTTTGGTTGAATTGAAAATGCAGTAGTTAATTTACTTTCAAGATATGTGGAAATTAACAAGTACATGTTAGTAATTGGACTAGTATGTAATGCTTTTGTGCCTATATAATGCATTCTTCTTAATGAGGGGTTGAAGAGACACCCTTATAAAATTTGAAAATGCCTTTGACGCAATCAAGAATTTAACTTCTAGACACATTTGATACACACTAAAATATTTTGTAAGTGAGTCACTCCCATTTTACTTGAGGATTGATGGAAAGATGAGTTCGAAAAGTTAACTTTTGGACTAATCCCTAAATACATTTTGAACTCATGACAATGTGTTTATTTCACAACTCAACCGAGAATATGGATGTTAAGTTTCGAACTAACCCTCAAGATAGTAAGGTTTCCTCTTGGGCAGTAAATTTGTTATAGATTTGACATATTTTAATAAATCTTTTATTTTAAGCTATTTATACAAAGTATGCATAATTGTTAAAGTAATGAGTTGTTTGAGGGACCTTCTGATGAAGTGGCACCAACAATGCATGTTGGGTCACTCTATCATGTCTCAATCTTTTTTGGTTGTCAAACAGTTTACCTTTAATTAAACACGAAAAATTATATCATAATAAAATAAGTCATATCCATGGGATAGAACAAGCAAAATCAAACAAGTTATGCATATCAGAAAAATCTGATTGTTAACTTTAATATTCAGAAAGTTAACTTCCGTACCAGACAAAATCAGAAGGACACTAATTGGTTGAATTTTGGGTGAATCTTAAGTTTAAGTTATGAATTTTAGGATTTGACAAAATTCAAGCGCACACGATTACAGTTTTGAAGCGTGAATTTGAAGTTCTTGCTATGAAAAATAATGAATTGGTGGATGAGAATTTTGCTCGAACTTATGTGATCGTGAATCACATGAAGGCTCGTGAGAAGATGGATCAAATCTTAATTGTTAAGAATATTCTTAGGTCTATGACTTTAAGATTCAACAATGTTGTTTGCTTAAATTGAGAAGTTCAATGACATGACCACCTTATAAATTGATGAACTACAAAGGAGTCTATTAATACATGAACAACACACAATGATTCATGGAGAGGAGAGGAAAAATCTTAAAATGACCTATGGTGGTTGTGGTAGGGGATATAGAGAAAGGAATTTGTGAAGTGTTATAAGTGTCATAAGTTGAGACAATATTAGAACGAATGTCTCAACGGAGAGAAAAATGTCAACTATGTTGAATTTGATGATGATGATGATGAAGAAATACTTATCATTGCTCTAGAAGGTTGAAGCTCTAGTGGTTCTGGTATTCAAGAAGTTTTGTTCCTTGACTCTGATCGTAGCAATTACATAGTGGAAAACGAAAATTGGTTGTTTGACTTTGATTGTCAATTTCATGAATTTGTCAAGCTAAGAGATGACAAAAAATGTTAGTCATAGAAAAAAAACTCGAAACTACACATTGAAAGATTAATTTAAGTGGTGACTGAATTTGCATGTCTCTAATACCTCAAGGGTTATGGTTTTATTGCTTATTTATTAAGCTTTTGGCATTATTTTTGTCAGAGTCTCAATTGCGCATTTCTGGATTGCGTTTCAGATATGTATTTTTAGCACACATAAACCAAAGTGTTTGATTATAGCTTAAGCAATATGATTGAAACCAATATATTGAGTTTTTTAATCAAGAACTATGCTTGAAAATGATTCAAGTCATGACCGTTGAAGAATCTCAAAAATCCTTTGAAAATTTGTGAAAAAGAGATTCTGCCTGTCAGACTCGAATTACATAGTTAGTTTGATTCAATTCAGACTCATAATGAGCTCAAGAATGCATTTTTCAGTTTTTGTTGATTCAAATCATAAGAAGATCTGATTCGAACCACATCACTCTGATTCGAATCACTAGACTGGTGAGAATAATATATCAAGTGTGAGTTGGAGTCTCACATTGATTATAAATATGGAGATTTGAGCATTTATAAGTGGGAGAACCCATACACATATTGTGAGGGCAAACCGTCATACACCACACGAGTTTGCATACATCACTTGATATAGGTTTCGATGATGACGAATTACAACCATGGATGAATTGGCAACTGTAAATTCCACCGCTACCAAACAAATGCAACATATCACCCACCGTATCCTTTTACATTTATCTAAAAACTGTTATAGTTAATACAATATGTGTGGATAAAATGTGGTCGTGACAAAACGCATGAAAAACCACAAGAATCTCAGTTTTTGCAGGATTGCAGGGTATGAGTCGACCATAGGGTCGGCGCATACATCAGTATGTTTTTCCACTGGTCAGCGCATGAAGGCTTGAGTCGACTATAGGGTCGGCGCATAAAGAAATTACTCTTCAACGGGTCAGCGCACGTCGACTGTATGGTCGACGCATACTGTTACATTTTGCAGATTTCCAAAAGAGCAGACTATGCGTCGAGGCACAGACCTGCTGTGGTCGATCGTTCGCGCGGAAATGCTGTTTTTAAATGACTCCCTCTAGTATTTGAAAAGCTGTTATGTCCTTGGTTGGTCTGGTACTATATATACAAGTCCAACTACTTATGTCAAAACAACATTTGATAAAAACTGATTCATGTGTTCAAGAATAAGAAAGAGTGAAATAGGTGTCCAAGATTCATCATCTTCATCTTCAACATCTCACAACACATCAATTACACACAACCATTTTTGAAGTGCATTGTGAGTGATTAAAGGTGATAAGGTTCGAAGCTTAGATTGGGTAATCGAGTTCGGGTTGAAGCTTGTGACAGATTCTTTCTTGAATAAAACCGTTAGAGTTTTATCCTCCAAGATTGGGTTGATTTTTGGGGGTTTTTGGACGAGATTCTTTATCAAGGGTCAGTTGAGCGAAGGTGATTGTGAAGAGGTGTTCTTCAACAGTTTAGTAGCAGATTCAGTGATATTGAGGGGAACATCTCGGGTTCGATTCGTTGTAGTTGAGATCAGCCGGGCCGAAGGTTTGAAGAACTAAGGGTTATTCAATAAGGTGGCTGGAATCAGAGGTCTATCAACAACGATCGGAGGACTTGATTCATCTTGAATCAAGGGGCAAGGAGTGGAAGCAACATTCAACGTCTTGAGAATTCTGTTGTATATTTGCTGTTCAATCCTTGTATAAACTGTTACATTCAACAGGTGATATCTATTAAATCTATCTCAATTCTAGTTTTAGAATTGAGGGCAGACGTACCCCGAAGCGAGGACGACGAGGGAACTGCCTCACCAAATACTTGTCTTCTCTATTTTTCAGCATTTTCGTTTCAGCTTAAAAATAAGTGATTTTAGTATAAGCACTATTGTCAAACTGTGATATCAATTGAGTAAGAGGTTAAAACTCAGTTTTTGAATCCAAAGTACAATAAGACATTGTACTAGGCTAGTTGGAATCACTTACTCAACATAAATATCACTTGGAGTGTTTTTGCACACCAAGTGTTTGTCAAATTGCCTAAACCAAAATTATCTTACTTGAGTATCTAGTTTTGGTTTGCTCTTTAAATCATTGGAACTAGGAATCCTAACAAGTGAATTAGATCATTGATAAGTGTAATTAGTGTTGTGATTCTGTTTTCCATATTGTCATTAATCTAAAGGCTTAACGCATATCCGGTTTTCCAATAACCGTTCGTTTTAGACTATATTTTCCTTGGCCGCTTCCGCACTTAAAACATATTTTCAAAACCAATTTTTAAATTGGTAGCGCCGACTCAAATTTTTAATTGGGATCTATTCAACCCCCCCCCCCCCCCCCCCCCCCT